AAATAACACGACGTGAAATTTCCCACCCTGGGCCTGGAGGAAACCTGTTCATTAATGTACCATTTTAAGCCCATTTGTAGACGCAGCTTGGCCCCAGGAGTCTCACCAGCACACAAGTTACTGTCATTGAGATAAGGCCCAATTTCTTCCAGCGTGCATTGAAACGGGGCATGGCTGTGTTTCTCATGCAATTTGGGACAATGGGTCTCGTTCAGGTCCAAATCCCACTGCTATGATGCTATTTTTCCCCACTGCTACCCGTCTATGATGAAAGTGGCCTCAACATTTCTGTTCTCCAACAACTTGAAATAACTTTTTTAAGCTTTCAAACCATTTTAATAAACCAGGGAAGAGCTCACCTTTCAGATAGAAGGGTGGGGTTTTTTTCGATGAGGTAAATGGTTGTTTTCATCACCTAATGGTTTTACATAAGCTACAAAAACTTGTGGCCATGCCCTGTGCCTGTTGCAGTAAATCTCCATGAGAATACCAAGCCCCAGCTCTTTCTGGCCCACAGGCCACTGGCCAGGGCAAGGAACGTGTGGTGGGAGTTGTCCTGCTGTGTCCTCTGGTTGACACCTGCAGTGGCATCATCCCACACACCCTGCTGGCACACCAAACAAGACCCACCCCAAAATTCCCCCCCGGGAGCTGCCTGCTTTGGATGGGGCAGTGAGGAAGACCTTCTGAGATGGTTTGGGTGGTTTGGGGCATGGTGGGTATGCGAGTCCCTAGCGGACCACCCCGTATGCCAGGAGAGGTGGAGGTAACGGCACCGTGAGAAGGGGCAGCAACTCACTGGAGCTGCAGGACCCCACAGAGGCTTGCAGAAATCCAGGCAGGTCACAAACTCCTCCTTATAATCAGCCTGACATAAAATCTATGTTCTTCTCCACTTCTGAGGCCATCACAGTGTTATTGCCGGGCAATTGAGTGGCCGTCCTCTCTGTTGAGAACATTTGCTTTTTCAGCGTGAGAGAGAGAGACGTGAAATCAAGGTGCGAATCAACTTTCATTAGAGCAGTTACACTTTTAACGCCCAGCTTCCTGCTCTCTGCGAGTATAAACAGAAAAAGTGCCCGTTCTTTGTCCCATTGGCCACACTGAATGTATATTTTATTCCAGTACAAGCACAGCAAAGTCTCATCAACACAGCACAACAGCTGTGGGGACGGGCAAGCGAGGAGGGCTGCTGGATAAAGATGTGGGACTCTTCCTCAGTGGTGGCCAGTGTCAGGCCATGAAGTTCCTCTTTTATCTCTGTAATCTTGGGCCATTTGAAAATAAAACGAAGAGCATGGTAGAACTTCCCGAGGAGCAGCACGAGCCATAACATCTCAGCCCAGCTTGGCTAGCTGATGGTGAGCAGATAATTACTCTGCAATATCAGAGCCAGGAGATTTCTTCCAAATATGCAATTATTAAAATAAGGGAGGGAAGGGGGGGATAGGACAAGATGGAAACCTACCTTGAGTTCTCACAGCAAGGAGATAGGACTTATTCCAGGGAGAGTTTCTGAAAAGTTAATTTTTTCTGTGTGGAGCAGGTAAGTGGCCTTGAGACTCTGAAATCACAGGGAAGCCGTTGCCAGCCCTGGGAGGAGATCTGGAAGATGTCTTCATGGTCCCTGTGCTTTGCCTTTTCTGAGAGAAGGTGCCTCTCTGCGATGCCCAACAGCCCCGTGGGCCTGTGCTCCAGCAGCCATTCAAAAGCCATTCAAAAGCCCCCACCGAGAAGGTCTCCTTGGTGGGCAAGGTGACCTTGCTAATTTAGGACTGACTGTGCAAAGCAATACCCACGCTGTTAACGACGGGCTGCCTCTGCGTGTCTGCGGGCAGGCGATGGCAAAGGGCTGGGGGCTGCCGTGGGGCAGCCGTGCAGGACACAGTGACCCATCTCCAGCCCCAGCGATGGGGAGACACCTCGGGGACGTGGAGCAGTTGGCTATTATAGAGCCCGGGGCATTAATAAGAAATTGTGAAGCGTTCCTCATCTCTTTAATCCCTACTAGTCTCCAAATTTGCATGATGGCAGCTGTGCTTAAATGGTATTCCGGCTGTTGGCTATTTGTCCTGGACCTGGAATTGCCCCAGGGAAGCAAATGGGAGCCGAGCCTCCCACCCACCGTCCCAACTGGCTCACGAAATGCATCCAGTCTCTGCTAACGGGTGCAGCCCCAGCGCTGCGGGCAGGCGAGGGTGAGCACCGTGGGGCAACGGGCCGGGCAAGCAATGGCATGGCGGGGTGAGCCCCCCCTTGCGCCAAACCCTTGGTCTATTATTAACGTCAGTAGACCATGTGGCAGCTGGGTCTCAAGAAGCCGCCCCATCACCCCCACACCTCAGAGCAGGGTCAGCTCTTCCTAAACCCTGCCTGTGTGCCTAACCTGCCTTTAAAAACCTTTAAATTCCAGGCAGATAACTTAAATCTCTCTCCCTACAAAGCAAATCCTTTGCTTTTGAATGTAGGGAAGAATTTATTGCTTCCCTTGTTGCGGTAATTTTTTTCCCTATTTGAAGAAGGATATTGGGTCCCCACCACCTCCTTTCCTCCCACCCGAGCAGTTGCAATTGTGGAGGTCGAGCTCCCATGCTTCCACTTATAGTCAATAAGCACCAGCTGGATTCTAGGAAGGCCCCAAAACAGCTTTGGGGCAGGGGGCTCGCAGGGCAGACCCCTCTGCGGTGCCACGGGGAGGCAGGACCCAGGCAGGTGTTCCTGGCGTCGGGCTAACGATGGAGAGGGAAGTTAAGAGGCACCGGCAGGGAAAGACCTGGCTAATTGACTTTGGTTTATGAAGACATAATTAGCAGCACTGTAGGATGTAATGGGCAGTTTAACAAATCTCGTCAGCGGGATCTCAGTGGTGTTAACCCTTCAAGCTCAGGGACCCAGAAAGCCAACCCCATCGTGGGCTGCACCCCAGCAGCGTGGCCAGCAGGGCGAGGAATTGGATTCTGCCCCTCTGTTGCGCTCTGGGGAGACCCCACCTGGAGTATTGCCTCCAGCTGTGGAGCCCTCAACATAAGAAAGACATGGACCTGTGGGAGCGGGGCCAGAGGAGGCCCTGGAGATGCTGGGAGGGCTGGAGCCCCTCTGCTGGGAGGACAGGCTGGGAGAGTTGGGGGGGTTCAGCCTGGAGAAGAGAAGGCTCCAGGAAGACCTCATAGCAGCTTTCCAGTCCCTAAAGGGGCTCCAGGAAAACTGGGGAGGGACTCTTGATCAGGGACGGGAGCCATGGGATGAGGGGGAATGGCTTCAAACTGGAAGAGAGGAGATTTAGATGAGATATTAGGAAGAAATTTTTCACTCTGAGGGTGGTGAGCCCCTGGGGCAGGTTGCCCCGAGAAGCTGTGGCTGCCCCATCCCTGGAGGTGTTCAAGGACAGGTTGGACGGGGCTTGGAGCAACCTGGGCTGGTGGGGGGTGTTCCCGGCCAGGGCAGGGGGTGGAACTGGATGATCTTCAAGGTCCCTTCCAACCCAAACCATTCTGTGATTCTACGACTCAGCCCTCGGGTAGCCCACACAGCCCCAGGTGGGGTGGGGTGGGATGGAGTGCATCCAGACAGTGATGCCTGGCTCACACAGAAATGGGGATTCCCCCCAGCATCCCACTGGGACACAGCCTCCTGCATGCCCAGGGTGTGCAGGAAGGGCCTGGTCTTTGCCTGTGATTTCACCTTAGACACCACTCTGAGCTGCACCCACGGCACAGGGCTGTGGCCACAAATACCCTGGCAGCACTGGGAGGACAGTTTGTCTTTGTTATGTCCACGTTATTATTATTAAGATGATGGAATGGAAGGGAAAACAGTCCTGACAAGCAATATTGAGAACTTCACGCAAGAAGGATCA